CCATGTATTTGCTTGTTTAATCATATTTATTCATTTGGTGATGACATGACATTTTCCTTCTTCTGTTTCTTAGAGGGAAATTGATGGGATCCTGCACAAATAACTGCAAAGTAAACAGCCCTGGAGTAAATATTGTATGGAAATTATTCAAACTATCTGGGCACTCAGCAAACAAACCAATCTTCAGTTTGAGACTCATTGATTAGATGTGAAACAAAATCAAAGTAATAAAATTGAAAGTGGGATCACCAAAAATCTGATTTCCCATGTATGAATAGAGAAACACTGCTTTCTGGAATAGAACCCCAGACAGCATGCCCCTTTGAATTAATGTAGTGCAAGACAGAAAGAATATAAAGCACAAAAATCATGTATATTTCATTCTTTTCCATCAAATATTCAACAAAAATACAGTGTTTGATAAATCAGAAGGGTTTCAAAGTATTTTTGTGTGGTTTGGACAACCACTTGCCTGTGGTTTTTTTCAAACATTTCTGTGTTAGTTTTCCAAGTACTTGTATGTCATTTTTACAAGCGCTCTTGAATGTTGTTTGCACAAGTACTCACCTTGGGCTTTACAAGCAATTATTGTCTGCGCTTTTTAGCAGTATGCATTAAAATGCAAATTAATGAATGTTTTTTCAATGTCTCTTATAAAAGTACACAAAAACAAGACTTCCAAACCAGGGATAAATTATAATACATTTCAATAATGGTCCAGAAGAAATGACAATCATCAACCAAGACAACCAACAAAAAACACTCACGTGCATTGTCAAGTAAAAGATGAGTGATTGACTAAGTTAAGATAACAATTAATCATGACAATTAAGAATAAAGGAAAATAATCAATCAGGAAGTTTAACCCATTCTTCCTCTGATTATGTGACTGTTTAATCATATTTATATTGTAATGAACTGCCCTTTCTTCTATTTCTGAAAAAGGGAAATTGAAAGCATCATGTATGAATTACTCCAAAGAAAACTGCCCTGAAGTAAATACTGCATGCAAATTCTTTGGACTGTTATTAATTACCAGTGGATACAAGAGCAAGACAATGCAATGAACTTTATAAAAACCACAGGTGAGATAACATCAAAAAATGATAGTGCACGTACAAATAGAGCAGCACAGTTCTCCAAAACAATTAAAGCTCAACAGAATTAAAGCTTAACAGGGCCCAAAGGGAACCTAGTGCCAAGATCTATGATTACTTAGTAGTTATTAGTTAAGTATAAGCTCAATCTTACAAGTACTTGGCTGAGAAAAATTACCTCTTTGTGATTTGTTCAAGTAATCACCTTTGATTTTACAACTGATTATCTAGGAATGGAGAGGAGAAATATTGGCACACTGTATCGATTGCATGTTTGAAGTCACAGATCAAGGATTGGCATGGATAAATTAATACGTTTTATGTTACTGATGGATAAGAAAGCAAGTAAATCAATGACGGTGATTACAAAAAAAGACAACTATATTTGTTGTGTATTTGAGATTGACAGAATTATTATCATGGATATTAATGATGGATAATGACAATCATGGAATGTGATGTGATAAAGACTCAATTAATTGAGGGGTTCAACTCACAATAAAAAAATGAGAAAAGGAGATGTAGAAGAAGGCATGACACAACTGACTGATCCTACGCAGCTGCCCTTTTGCCAATGACTTGTAGGAACATTATTAGCCATATTGTTTCCTCAAGTGCCACAGTGTGTGTTTCCTCAAGTTCCACAGTGTGCCTTCTGGAGAACATACAACTCAGCCAAAAATTAATAGGACCTCCCTGTCAAGACCTGTCACCTCTAGGTCACCTGCTCAATTCCACAGTGCTTTTGAAACATACTCACCAATCAAGGGCATGGATATGATCAAATTCACAAATTTTGATTCAGGAAAAGAAAGAAAACAATCAGATAAAGAGACACCAGAGAGACAATTAACTAGGGAGGGAAACTCACCAGATTATCTCAACAATCTGACACCGTGAAATCCCGGTTCTTGTTCCAAGGACTTCTAGAAAAATAATTCTTTGGTGAATTGAGAGAATGCACCATCTGGAGCACATACCACTCAACCAGATACTCACTGGAACCTCTCTCTCAAATGCTTTCACCTCTAGGTCAGTGCACCTTTTTCAGCTATTTCAGATGGCCTGGTAGAAGTGTGAGCTATGAAAAATAATTATCTACAATTTCCTCTTGTTTTTACCACCAATTCCGCTGTGCAATTGGTGCCTTCTCACCCAGTAAGCCCAATTAGGTACTCTGACCTCCTTTGAAAAGTAATTTGCCACTAGGTCAATAGTTTTTGGTGCATCCTTTGAACACATTGGTTTATTTTTCCCTTTTCCTTTTTAAGATAGAAAGATACTCTACAAACTATATGCTTCTACTAGCCGCTTTCTTGCAAATCTATTTCAACCCAGAGGTGCCAGCTATCAAGGTAGAATCTGGTTCCACTGCCTACTTCATCTTACTTGCTCATTTGTAATTGTTATGGCTTAAAATTTTAATTGGTTGCTTGTTATATCATGGATAATTAATATTTTTGTATTGGTACAGCTTAATTTTCTTCCTGGTTGCAGTTCATCTCATGGAAAACAAACATTACACAGTATGAATAAATCAACACATCATGGAAACAAAAAATTACCCAGTCTAGATACATCAACCAGCCACCTTTTCTGTATTATTTTTCTAATTTTCAAAAAATCAGGCAATGGCCCAATGACCAATGGTCTACACGTGACAAATAAATACATATCCATAACAGGTCAGAAGGAAAGACAATCAACAAATAAGACAAGATGCAAAACCACTCACGAAAATTTTCAAGCAACAGATGAGGGATTGACTGGGTTGAGAATATTTATATTCCGATGAATTGTCCTTTCTGCTCTTTCTGAAAAAATAAAATTGAAATCATCATGTATGAATTATTGCAAAGAAAACTGCCCTGAATTAAATACTTCATGTAAATTCTTTGGCCTGTTATTAATCACAAGTGATACAAGAGCAAGACAATGCAATGAACTGGGTATATCCCACAGGAGGGATAACATCAAAACCCAACAGCACAAGTACAACTATTGCAACACAGTTCTCCAAAACAATTAAACCTCATCAGGGCCCAAAGGGCACCTATTTCCAAGATCAACAATTAGTTAGGAGATATTGATTATGAATGAGCTCAATTATTGAACACAGTAATGTTGTCTCTGATTATACAAGTACTTGAACAAGGTTTGAAAAATTACTTGCTTGGGATCTGTCCAAGTATTCACCTTTGCTTTTACAGCTAATTATCTAGGAATGCAGTTCAGGAGAAAGATCATCACCCTGTATTCATTGTATGTTTGAAGTCACAGATCAAGGGTTGATGGGGATAAATTAATATGTTTTATTTCAATTTTGGATGAGAAAGAAAGTAAATCAATGGCAGGGATTAGAAAGAAAGACAGCTATATTCCCCATGTATGTGGGATTCACAGAATTAAAATCATGACACATCACAATAAAAAATTAAAAAGAGAGACATAGAAGAGGGCATGATATGACTCACTGAGCTTACACAGCTGCCATTTTGCCAATGACTTGTAGGAAAATTATCAACCATACTGTTTCCTCAAATGCCACAGTGTGCCTTCTGGAGAAGATACAACTCAGCCAAAAATTACTAGGACCTCCCTGTCAAATCCTGTCACCTCTAGGTCAATGGGATTTTTCGTCACTTTCCCCGCTCAATTCCACAGTGCTTTTGAAACATACTCACCAATCAAGGACATGGATGGGATCAAATTCACAAATATTGATGCAGGAAAAGAAAGAAAACAATCAGATAAAGAGAAACCAGAGAGAAAATTAACTAGGGAGAGAAACTCACAAGAATAAATAATTGGTAAGAAATGAGAAACTCACAAGAATAAATAATTGGTAAGAAATAAAACTCCCAGTAGGAGAAGGTGGGGGTTAACTCAACAATCTGACACCATGACATACCTGTTCTAGTTACAAGGACTTCTATAAAAAAATGCTTGGGTGCATTGAGATAATGTACCCTCTGGAGCACATACGACTCAAACAAATACTCACTGGAACCTCTCTCTCAAATACTTTCACCTCCAGGTCAATGCCCTTTTTTCCGCTATTTCAGATGGACTGGCAGAATTGTGAGCTATGGCAAACAATTATCTACAACTTCCTCTTGTTTTGGCCACCAATTCCATTGTGCAATTGGTGCCTGCTCACCCAGTAAGCCCAATTAGGTACTCTGACCTCCTTTGAAAAGTTATTCACCACTAGGTCAATAGCTTTTTGGGGGCATCCTTTGAACACATGGCTTTATTTTTGCTTTTCCTTATTGAAATAGGCAGATACTCTACAAATTATATGCTCTTGTTAGCCCCTTTCTCACAAATCAATTTCAACCTGGAGGAATCAGTTATACAGGTAGAATCTAAGTCCATTGCCCACTTTATCTTACTGACTCATTTGTGATTTTTATGGCTTAAACTTTTAATTGGTTGCTTGTCATATCTTGGAGAATTAATATGTCTGTATTGGTACAGCTTAATTTTCTACCTGGTTGCAGTTCATATCATGGAAATTTAAAATTAAATAGTCCCAATCCATCAACACATCATGCAAAATAACAATTACACAGTCTAGATACATCAACCAGCCACATTGTTTGTATTATTTTTCTACCTGGGCTGGATCAAAGTCTACCTCAGGAAATAATTCTCAAAAAATCAGGCAAAGGCCCAATGACCAATGGTCTACCTGGTCTACCTCTCCCCTATACCAGGTAGACAGGTAGACATCATTGGGCGCCCATACGTCTGATGAAATCACTAGGCTTGATTGGTGGTGACAAAAGTGGTCTGGTCTCAGCTGGGGTTCCGTTGTCATCATCTTTGGGTAATTTGGATTGTGCCAATCCATTGAAAGCCTCTGAAATTGAACCAATATGTACATACAAGGCTACTTACCTGGCAGAAGCCTGCAAGGTGAGATATGAACTCAATGGCCAGTAACTCGCCATCCCGCATCTTCCGACTGAAAGGTTGAGCAACTTTGATGATGGTTGCATCATTTTGTAACTTCCGTTTGAGAAGGTCTAACATCAAAATGTTGCGGTCGAATTTCTGCCAAAAATCCTTGGACCTGAAGGGAGGCATTTCCTTCTCTTATCTTTTGGAGGGCCTCTCTGTGTGGGATTCACAGAATTAAAATCATGGATGTTA